CTCTGCTGGCGATTATATTACTGTAATGTCATCAGTTGTCTCTTCTTGTTCTCTCTTTCTCCCCCCCCCCCTCCCCCCCCAAGTGAATAAACTCAGTTTCTTCAACTCATGTTAGCAGCTAATAGAACTGTGAGAACAATAGGAATGTGATAATAATAAAACATTTTGTCTTAAATCCCAAATTGGTGAATTTTTCGGTACCTAGTACAGTATTTAGAAGTACTAAAATTCATTTATAATCATGAGTGAATGAAACTAGCTGGGAGTATGCGATGTCATAAAACAAACACTTATAACACTTTTGTATGATATTACAGCACAATAAGACTGGTAATGATTTGTTATTAAATCTTTGTCCAGTCTAGCTCCATTAAAAGAGAGGTTTGATAAAATGTGTTACCAGTGATTTTTGACGTAATCTCACACAAGACTTCAGAAAATGCTTTACCAGCATAGGCATTACATACCATAAGTATTTAAAAAAAACTTGTAATGCTTACAATGGATTGAGTCATTCATGCTACCTGGACTATATACTGACAATTGTGTTGCAATGGACTTCACAATTGGAGGGAGGAGAGCCTGTTTTTTTGTCTAGTGCTAAACTCCTTGAGCACGTAAATCAAATCAATTAATCACTTGGGTACCCTCACTAATTTTGGTCATATTTCCAGTAGTATGATAGTAATTATTTTCATGAGGGATATCTGAAGAAAACCGTGGATTATTCTACTTGCTATGACCAATAAAATATTTCTATAATGTACCTGTTTCTCTATTCGTTTATAGATAGTGACTCGTGTGCTATGCGATTGATTGATAATTCATAACTGTTACAAGAAACAAAAGCGACTTGCATTTTATTCAAGACTTATTAAAGGAAGAATTTTTTGTTTTTGTAATTAATTAATAAAAGTCAAGTATTTCTATTTGGCTGTAATTTGCATCATATTGTGTTATCAACTTCTTTTTTTTTTCTCTTGTTGATGTAAATGTAGCCTTACTAAGAAGGGGGACAGCTTACAAAGAACTGGGAGACATGCTTAAAGCCAAAGCCGACTTTGAAAGTGTTGTGGAGTTACAGCCTGACAGTAAAGTCTGTCAGGTATAAAATTATATATTACATTAATGGTGATATAAATTTTTACATTTATTATTGAGGACATTTTAGTAGATTTCCTATAAATCCTAGAAATTTTGTAGTTTTTCTCATCAGTTTATGGCATGTACGTCCATCTGTTTTTTTGTTTTGCTTTTCGTACACTTTCTCATACTTTTGTTGTATTTAGTAACCAAACAGCGTGTACATCAGAGAAGTGTAAATACATAGATTCATGTCTATTTCTTTCTTTTTAAACAAGGTAAATAAAAGATGAAAACATATTCATCAAATATAACTTTGCTTTAATATATCCTGTGTATAGGTTTATCATCATTATTGTGAGCTGTACTTTTTCACCTGCTTAAACTTCTACAAGTAATGCTATTCCATTAATTGTATTAGCCCTACTGTATTCATACTGGTAAGAAAAACATTGGACATAGTTTGTATTATGCTTATTTTGTGTTATACTCATTTTTAAGGCCCGGTTGTGATAATGTTTCTTTGCCTTTGTTTTCGGGGTAATTTTTGTGCCGATACGTATAGTATTCAGAACTACAGAAATACAAAGTTATCAGACTTTACATATGTTTAATTATCAAAGTAATCGTAGAGTTTATTTCAGTAAAACAAGGAAAGTATAATAATCAAAATTTCCAAAATGCCTCATTATGGATTTTGTAATATCACTTTCAAGCAGTTGATGCTCTCACAAACATAATTTAACAGTAGTAATAGGAGATTAAAAGAGATTTCTTTATGGGAAAACAAATGCAAATTTATTTCAGATTTGTGATAAAGTGATCAGGATTTGAATAATGTGTTTACCATGATATATATGTGATAAATATTGCATATTTCAGAGGCTGTTAACCGAGGTAAGTAAGAAGCTAATACCCAGAAGTAAACCACAGGGAAAGCGTATGGTTATAGAAGAGTTTGATGGAATAGAAACTGAATCTGTTACTGTTGTAACAGACCACAAAGAAAAATCAAGTGCTCGTTTTAATTCAAAAGAAAATGTGATCATAGAAGAACTAGGCGAAGTAGATACTAAAAATGTTACTGTAAACATAGATCAAGAAATACTTTCTCCTTTCAAGTTGGATCATGATAGTCAGTCAAATACAAAAAGTGTGACTCTACACGAGAAAGGCAATATTGGAAGTGAAGCTGTATTCCAGCCAGAGATTGACTACTCTGAAGGAGTCAGAGATTCAGCTACAACTATCAAAAGTAAACATTCTACTAAAGAAGATCTTATAACTGTTCAAAAGAATTTAAATCAGAAAAGTGTTGAAACCAAAATTATTTCAAACACCGAAGACCCTACACCGTATCAGTCAAAAACTATACTCATAGAAGACATAGATTCAGATCCAGAGGAGGAGAATTTTATAGTCAGTCTAGTCAACAAATGGAACAATATACCATCTGGAAACCAGGTGAATGATGCTCTTGTTACAGTGGCTGAGCAAGAAGATAACAATACAAACCATCATGACAGCAAATGGTTTCCAGTGAATAACTTTGATAAGATTTCTGTAGTCAGAAACACAAAAGCTATCTCAGAATCCTTTACTTCTATAGGAAGTGATAATGTCAGTGAAATACCAGAAAGCATGGAATATCAAGAAATACCAGAGAAGAGTAAAAAGTTTGGAATTTCCACACCACTTGTGCAAGGAGAAAAAACCTGTCAAGAAATGTATTTGAAAAGTGAATCAGGAAAGGTATGTTAATTTTCGATAGGGGATTACACAACCATAAGTTTATAGAAAATAATACAAGAATGAATCCCACTAATCAACGGGTTAATAATTTTATCTTAACTTTTCCAGTCTTTTGGTCATGTCTTTTAATTTATCTTAATATTAACCATGTTAAAAAAAGCTCAATTACATATAGCACATACAAACTAGATTGTTGGTTAGTCTTAAACACTTATTTATTTATCATAAAACAGCCTGTCAACATTTATCATCAATCTTCTCCTGACCAAAATCACGACCTTAAAAGTGTTTTATACCCTAATTTCAAGTAAACTGATAGAAATTATATCACCAGAAAGCACTTATCGTGGATTCAAAGGATGTTATCACTAAAATATTTACACATTAGGTATTCAATTTAAAGATATCATTATCTTGAGGTAATTTCCAAATCAACACAACATTGATAATTTTGATATCTGTAGATTTGACTATAAAAAATTAAATATTCCCAGTTTACTGATTTTATTTATTTTCTTCAAGAGTTGGTAGTGGGTACTGTTGGCTAGCTGTTTTCCTTTTAGTGTGTCAATTCAGAATTAAGAACAACTAATGCATGTAATACTTGTGGAGTTTCCATGAATATCTGAAAGAAAAAAACAAACAAACCTTAAGAGAACATCTAAACTGAATATACTTTGATTAAAATGAAAGAACTTTAATTAAAAGTTATCAATAATTTTATCAACAAAAGATTAGAAGTGAAGTAAGTATTATAATAAATTTGTTTAAACGTATATTCATCTCATTTTCATTGTCTTCAAGCATCTATCTCCGTACGAGTACTTGCACGAATGGTTTTCAGAAAAGACAGGGAAAACTCCATCCAAGGCAGCAGCTGTTCTAAAACATATTCTGCCCCATGAATTTCCATTTATTCTTGGTAATAAAGTCGATGGTGAAATGTTGAGTCAGATTATAATGGCTTTTGATTACATGAGGTCCCACAGTAAGTATATATACGCTTCTACTTTGCATTGCTACTAGTATTTTTAAGATGTCAGTCAATAGTGATGTTCTTATAATATTTAATGACACACAATAAGTATGTTGATTTCTTGTTACTGTTGCAATGTGAAGTAATGTTAGTGTGATATTTAAGATATAAGACGACCCAGTGTACATATGTGGTAGTCTGGTTACTTGACGACATCAGACAAGATCATAATAGCTTTCATTTTAAGGTCAGAAATGGATATATGTGATGTTTATAGTGTATTACGGTTTCATTTTAATATGCAGAAAATCTTCCTTGGTAAGATAAACTTGGAACTTATGCTTCAACACACTTGCATTTACCTTTATTGATCAACAGTGTGCCAAAATACTGATTTTAGGTCAAAACTATGAAAACAGAATCCCCAATAAAAGTATACAATGAACTAATTGCTGCCTAACCAATTCTCAGAATAACTTGCTACTTTAATGTTGCTATGAGTATCATCCTAACACATGAAGTTGATCATTAAAACTTCAGTTAATTATTCATGTTGTTCTACATGATTAAGTTAAGCTTGTGTTATTTGAGTGATATTACAAGTAATCTCTAACTTTACTTATATTTCACAGATACTGTAAATGTGAAGTTAATTTTCTGTTTTATATGTATCATATTTCATGTATCTTACAGCTTAAGCAGGCTTAGCTTACATGTTGCTAATATATGATGTTCAAGGACTTTTGAAGTTTGTGTTTTGTTTGCGATACAGCTTATACACTTAATTTTACCTGTTACTTTTGTAATATTCTGAGAGGATACAGTTTATGTTTCGTGCATGGTTTTTCCCCTGAGGATTTAGCTTAGCCATTAATTTTGTTTATTGCTTTTGTAATATTTCAGAAAGTATACACCTTATTCAGAGAATATATAATGGTGATACAGTCCTTAAAGTCATTATTACATTTGTTTGCTACTTGTCAGACAGTTGTGGTCAATCTGTTATGTTCCATGTATTACATTTAACAGAGAACACAGTTTGTTTTGGTAATCTTACATCACATAGGTAATGTAGCTTTAGCATAGAGAATACAGCTCATTGAGTTAATCTTTGTAATGTTGCATAGATGATGCAACTTATCCAATTGAGCTTCTCTACTGCCGTGAATAATGTTCCACAGATTATGTACCAAGTTCAGGAAATTAAGTCTATCAGTTACTGGTGATATTTCAGTGATTATGTACTTCATGCTTTTAAAGTTATCTGTTACTTGTATAATGTCCTACAGATGATGCAGGCCATGCAGTTAACTTACTGTATTACTTGTGTGATGTCCCACGAATATCAACAGTGGCTCTATTTTTAACGGAAAATGAAAAACATGGTAAGATATCTTTTTATTTAGTTCATAAATGTAATTAATTTTGTCGAACGTAATTAAATTTTGTCTGTTTATTGAATTTGTAATTTTTGTACACTTTGTCTCCAGCTATCATTGGGAGACCCTGCAGTCAACTCTGTTTCTTTGTGCTTTTCACTCATTGACAGCATTATAAGTCAAGAAGTCATGCTTCCAGTTGTATAATTTGATGTATCAAGTCTTAATTCTGCTTATTAATTGTACTAGCCCTAATACTATGCAATTTCAGGAAGTTAGTTCAATTGCTGGTTGTGGGGCATCATATTCATTTAGGTCAACACCACATAGAATTGCTTCATCATTATACGGTTCTCTCATTACCAAGTCATACTGTAATGATTTTAGTTATTGTGTACTTGGGTAGAAGTATCGGGAAGGAATCTGCTGGGCTACTTCAATAAGTTCCTTTGTTTTTGAATTATTATTTTTTTCAGTACTTAATTGTTTTATTCTTCTGTTTAGTTAATGGGTCTCCTGTGATTCGTGGATGAAAGTATGGCATTACTATATCTTAAAGAACAAAGGTTAATCTGTGATCTTTAACCTTACTGAGGGATGGAGTCCATGTGAACCACACTGGCATATTAAACACATTTTTTCTAAATTATTTATGCACCAAATTACTTGTATGTCCATGACATTGAATGCAAAATTTCTAATAACTATGAATTCCACAAGAAACAAAAATCTTGTTGGTATTGTAAGTAATCTCATTAATTATTCTTGACATTTCCAGTGTATTTTTCATAGAAGATTAATTATGTCACTCTTGACTGATCTAATATAAGTTTCCAGTAACTATGTGCACAGTAGCATTTCAAATACACTGTCATATACAAACTAGGTCTTTCTGTTAATTCTAGAACTCGTCAGGTTGACTGGGTTACAATATACATTTGTAGTTGAAATTCTATTGGAAACCTGTATTTTACTAGTTAAGGATAGCTTGATTGAAATAATTTCTAGTAATTATTGTCGTAACTCAAAGAACATTAATGTCTACTTCTCAATCTGAAGAAGACATGCTACTGTAAGTGTTACAAAAATGAAATCATACCTGAGTTTGTAAACAAGTTGCTATAAGGGTTCAAAAGGTAGGAAAAAAGTAAGTTTGAATATTAATATAATATCATTGAGACATTTCTTAAAACTACAGAGAAGGAAAAATGCACATTTACAATTCAGAAACTCAAGAAAAATCTAAACATTTTCTTTATATAGCTTTTCGTAACTATTTTACAAAATCTGTAAGAAAATTTGTATATAAGACTTTCTAAAGTTTGTTATGTTTCAAAAACCAACTGAATATGTTTGAAAATAACTTATTTTAAACTCAAAAAATAAGAGAATGTTTACCTAAGTAATTTCACTGTGTATTGCATGTTTGGGAGTACTGTGATGTCACTGTTCCTAGATATTTATTCTAGATTTTTGTACTGTATTTTAAGGATAGTTTTGTCTTTGATAGCATGATAAAAAGAGACCACGATTTGGTATAGATTAACAATTTATCTGGAATGCTTTGTACATTTATAGGACTTATTTGATGTATAAAATACAATTAAAGTAATAATAATTGCATGTGTAATCTGGGACTAAAAATCATATTTTAATGCAATTCAAGTTATTAATGTAAAAAAAAAAATACAATTTTATTTCAGTGATTCGGAGCCTAATGCAGTTCATGAAAGACGAAGAGAATACCATCAAAACTAAGGTACATCAGATCTTTCATTTGGCACAGCGTGATATGTAATTTATAGCTATAACCTCCAATACTGTTTATCCTAACAAGAAAACCTTTTGTATAAGTGCATTAAATTACTATATGCTATACTGAATTTGTTTTACTTATGTATTACAAATAATTACACTGCAAAAATAAATATACAAAAACTCATGTTTAGCAAATGTAACAGCTTGGTACATGACAAAAACAAAAACTTCTTTATATAAACAGAGCTAGCTTTTGCTCTTCTCTAGCTGTAACTTAGTATTTTATTCATATCACATACACAAGTATTTAACACTGGGGGCGTGTATACCCAACTGATTCTATCAACACTGTAGATAACACCTAGGGAAAACAGTTACCCTGTATGTGACAGCTATGACACAAGGGATCTGTATATATGACTGATTTTATCAGGATTTCACTGAAAAACGTTTCATAAAAATTAGATTTCTGTTTCTTTATTTAGTAAGAGATGCGTTTAGAATGGTGTTACACAAGGTAGGGCTTGTGCACAATACTGTTAAATAGATGAGATCCAAAGATGTAGCTCTTATTTTGTAAATGTTTTTACATCATATTTTGGCTCAAGTGATCTTAACTGTAAAATTAATTTGATGGAATTGCTCCATAAATCAAACAGTAGGGTGCTTGTACACAATACCTTTGAATAGATGAGATCCAAAGATGTAGCTATTATTTTGTAAATGTTTTTACATCATATTTTGGCTCAAGTGATCTTAACTGTAAAATTAGTTTGATAGAATTGTTCCATAAATCAAATAGTAAGGTTCGAAGCTTTCACAAAACAATGGACATTTATGTTAGTAATTAACTCATTGCATAGTTTATGGTAAAATTGATACCTCTATAAGAAAACTTGTTAAATGTATGGTAATCATTCAAAAACCTTTACCTACCTTCACTATGTATATATATATATATTCATATTGTTTTATTGAAACTCCTGAAAATAATTATAAATGTGTATAATACTAGTTAAATAAGTATTTAAAGCATATGAAAACAAAAATCTTAATACAAAAGTCTTAAGGATCTGTTTTATTTTTTTCTTTGGATTATATAAGTTACATAAAATGTTTAAACACATAATTCAAAAGTAAATTTTGTTTTGTTAAGAAACAGCAGTGTTTGAATTTTGGAATAATAGACCTGGTAGAGTTGGAGTTTCTACTGCACTGTTCCTCCTGACAGGGTCGAAGAAGGTTTTTGTTTCCATGGGGAACCATTTTCCAGATGACTGTGTCCTCTATATCAGAGGAATCTAATCATATCTCAGACTTGTCACAGAGCTCTTTCTGTTGTGTTTTTTAAATTAGTGATTTTGTCAGCTGACATCATCACTGTGGAGAATTAATGTCCAAATGTTGCTGATCTGTAGGTCTTGCTTTTAACCAAAAGTTGGTTTTTGTATTTTGATGTAGAAGAATTATTTAATTTTTCGCATATTTCAGTGTTAATCCATGTTTGGAATTTGGTATTGGACCCAATTTATGAAGTAGCCAATGCAATAGCTGTGTTTGGCTGCAGTGGAGCCTTTAGCATTATTATATTCCATCAGTAGCTTTCCCTTGGAATATGTTTTGGTCAAAGCTCTCCAGACAGCCACCATGAAACTCAAGGTCTGGGACAAAGCTTTATTTAAAAATTCAAAACCATACAGACAGAAAAAAACAAAACTCTACAGTTTGTAGATAATCAAATCCATTAAATAAAGCATTACTTTACCACCAGCATATACACAAAGCCTACCCAACTTGCATTGGTACCCACACTTAGTAAAATGTCCAGTGCTCATAATTACACAAGACAGAAGAAACTGTGTTAGAAACCAGCTTAAAAAATTCTTAATCAAGACTTTATAATACTCTGGTTAGCTTGTCTACTTAATCTAACAATTCAACTAACTAAGAGAACAAGATCAAGATGGTTTTAAAAAGAAATGAGTGATACTTGAAAATCCTCTCTTCCCAAATAATTCAACAACGTTGGTGAAACCACACAATAAACAGTGTTACTAACATTAAACACCACACAGATGATACCAGTTCCCAAAATTTCAACAAGAGAATTTGACTAATAGAAATTCCCACAATATGGTAAACACAGTGACCAAAATGTTGTCCCACTCAAGCAACAATACAGAACAATCTATTGAAAGTGTTGATCCTGTTGTCTTCATTGATTAAATTTGTATTATCAGTTAGAAGTAGTTTGATGTCTTAATATCATAACCCAAATATATTAAAGATCTCAAATGGAACAAAAAGCATATAAGTTTTCTTTTGTGTAGTTTCACTACCAAAAAACAGTTATTTACTTATCATGCAGACTGCTAACTTGAACAGTCACAGTTCTCTTGTCACTTATTTGGTTTACTATTAACTTGTGTTTTAAATATCTACCAATATAGTTACTTAATAATCAAAAATTAACTCAAAAGAATAGTAAGTCTTGCTGTAATAAAAAAGTAAATGAAATATAATCTATAGGATGGAGCCATAAAAAGTAAAAATATATGAAAATAATCTATAGGTAGAGCCATAAAAAGTAAAACGTATATGAAATATAATCTATAGGTAGAGCTATGAAAAGTAAAAATATATGAAATATAATCTATAGGTAGAGCCATAAAAAGTAAATGAAATATAAGCTATAGGTAGAGCCATAAAAAGTAAAAAGTATATGAAATATAATCTATAGGTAGAGCCATAAAAAGTAAATGAAATATAAGCTATAGGTAGAGCCATAAAAAGTAAAAAGTATATGAAATATAATCTATAGGTAGAGCCATGAAAAGTAAAGATAAATGAAATATAATCTTTTTTTAGAGATATTGGATTTTCAGTCATAAAAACTTTAAAAAAGGGCTCAATTCTTATACATATTTCTGGACTTACTTTATGTAAAAACGTTTGTTATCAAAAATTATTATTTGCATTCACATGGAATAGGAACTGTGATCTTAGAACTATCTCTACAGATACTGTCATACAGCAAAAAATTGTTACGTCTTACATTTTGGAAATTCCCACTATACGAGTATTCTCCATTATTATAATAATGATTAAAATCAGTTCTTATGTTCTCCATTATTATAATAATGATTAAAATCAGTTCTTATGTTCTCCATTATTATAATATTGATTAAAATCAGTTCTTATGTTCTCC